CCGTTTGAATGGTTTTTCATTTGTCTAGTAATTTTTGAGGCCCTTTATAGCTTGCTGTTCGGTGTGAGCCAAGGCTCCGTGTTGAAGACCGTACTTTGACCTATATTGGCTTACTTTTATAAATTTTGACTTGGATGGAGAGTTGTCTCATTGGCACTCATACCACATCTACTTATCTACTCACATATTTTCATGTCAATTTAAATGTTGATGTTTGTATTTCCTGTTTGAGAGGGTATTAAGAGGGTTGTTTGGTTTTTTCTTTTTTCCTTTTCTCTGAACAAAACTTTAATCAATGTCAAATAATGTTGAAAGAGGTGTAGATATATGTTGGTGGCTACAAACCAAACATGACATTAAAAAAATTTAAAACTCTTCAAAGGTCAGTCGTTTCTCTGGAAATTCTATTAAGATTATGAACAAAAGCTTTCATTACATTAACTATTTACTTCATGATCACGATGCAGGTAGACGAGAGTGTATGTTCAAGACAGACTACGGAGCTTCATATAAAGGTTACGAAAATACTACAAAATCAGGGAGGAAATGCAGTTTATGGGTTGATAATAACTCTGATTTCACTACAAGCACCAGATGGATAGGAGAATTTGAAGAAAATTATTGTAGGAAAGTCGATATGGGATTAAAAACTCCCCCTGGTTGTTACGTTGATGATGAATTTGAAAGCTGTGATATTCCAGAATGCGGTAAAAATAATTCAGCAACTCAGATTCCAGTTTATAAGTAAAAAATGAGTTGAATAATCTATACCTTTCTTCATTTTTAAATTGCTCTCTTCTTTTCAATGGTAAATTCCGATGTCTAAATGACCTGTATGAAATGTGACGCCTGTAAATGACACGGAAACCATGCGTAGAAATCATACTTTATCCTGGCGTCATTGCAGTGTTTAAGGAATGCATGTCCAGGCGTAAACCAGGCGGAAACCAAGCGTTACTGAGACGGAAACCAGGCGTAAAATTATGCGTAATATTTAAATGTTTACGTCTGATTGACAGAAAACCAGGCGTAATATGCAAATGAGTACGCCTGGTCAACAAATAAACCAGGCGTAATATCCTTACATAATACTACACTTAATTTAAATCAGTGTATTACCCTAGCTGTGTACTTTGTGTATTTGATACAAACTTGTACTGTTGTTTAAATTTCTCATTGTTTGACCTAAAACTTGAAATATTAACCATTGATGAAGCTATATAAATAAATACATTTTAGACAGACACTGGCTCACTTTAATAAGTTAAAGTTTTAAATAATAATTATGACAATTAATTTTTCAAGAAATGAAACTAGCATTTTGACTAATTAAGTTGTTTTGAAAGTTAATGTCATTTGAACTAAAATATCAATGATAATTAACGGCAATTTAACTAAAAATTTAAATGTTATTATCCATGCAAGAATGAAGGTTTCCAGAACTTAAAATTTATTGTTGAAAAATAAAAACTTAAAACTTAGTTACTCACATAATTATTATTTACCAATTAGCATACTTCTTTCCTTTCATTTCACAATTTTCATTCATTAATTTGATTCCATAATTCCAATTTCAAATTCTTCCAAAATGCACAAAAAAAGCTAAATTCCCCTGAGTATATCAAGCTGCCATATATCCAACTCTTGCAAGCTAATACTAGAGAGCAAAATTTTGAAAAAAAATCCCATGATCCTTTAAACAAAGCATTATGGGTACTATGATTTACGCCTTTCCAACAGTTTGACGACCGTAGGAAAATTTACGCCTTGCTTATTTCAATTTACGCCAGGTTAACCACTTTTTTCTACGCCTGTAAGTGCTACAAATTTACGTTTCCTGCTCCATTACGCCTGGATCTACACGTAACCACCACTTTCGCCTGATTTACGCCAGATTTCTAGGCGTAATACGCCTTATAATTTCGTACGGGGGCAGTCATTTTGACTAGTCTCAATATTGTTATGTATAGACTGTCTTTGATATGCTTAAGCGTGATCAATTATCTGTTTTGCATAATTTTTTATTATGTTTAAATATCTTGCTACATTAATGTTTTTCTATTAGCCATTTGCAGAAAATTTCTTATACTTTCGGAAGTACTGTCAATGAAACCTTTATTTCAGAGGACGACCCAGAATATTTGGAAATATTTGGAAAAGGCAGAAGCTACAACTCAGCCCCATCACTTAGCAGCTCACCTGCTTCAAATGCAGTGGATGGTTTAATTGGTATTATATAATGATAAGTCCTCTACCGGTACTATACGTTGCACTTCGTCCGTTCGTCCCTCTGTTAGTCCATCAATCCGTTTGTTCAAGAGGTATTTTGCACTTTTTGCTCTAGTATTTCAATTTGTTGATTGGAATTTTGGTTAATAATCAAATCTTACCTTAACACTTTTGCAGAAGTTGTCCTAGGACACACACAATTTCTTAAAAATATCAATTTCCTGCACTTTGAAGTACCTGAAAAAGTTGTTGGGTATTTTGCATATATCATTATAAAAAAAAAGAGATATTATCCGGTTTTTGCGGAAGTTGTTTACAAACTCCGTGCAGCTGTCAGTATTCCGCACTTGTTCTACGATGCCGCCTGAAACAATTAATTTTTGAGTAACTAGGTATTTTGCATGTTGTCAAATCATTAGGAGCTCCATACAAATTTAGGCTACGTTCCGGTTGAGCATTTGTAGGAATTTGTAGTCTTTTAGTCGTAGATGCATGATTTTTTTTTAGTTGTTATTGGCTTTGAACTAGCTGTCAGTAACTGCGAGTACTCTCAGATCTGTACTTAGTGTCTTGTTGTGGGGATGTATTAGTACCCTGCCACGTCCACGCTTGTGTTTTTGTTACTTGTTTATGTGCTCTGTATCTCTCTGATGAGTTAAGCCCTTTTCAACTGATTTTTATAGATTGTACATATGTTGTACTAGTACACCACTGTCGAGGTTAGGAGAGGGTTGGGCGCCCGCTAAAATGTTTAACCCCGCCACATTCTGCATGTGCCTGTCCCAAGTCAGGAGCATGCAATTCAGTTAATGTCGTTTTTTTCTGTATATCAAATTTGTTTTTCGTTCATTATTTTGTACATAAATCAGGTAGTTAGTTTTCTCGTTTGAAAGGTATTACATGTGTCATTTCGGGGCCTTTTATAGCTGACTATGCGGTATGGGCTTTGTTCATTGTTGAAGGACGTACGGTGACCTATAGTTGTTAATTTCTGTGTCATTTGGTCTCTTGTGGAGTGTTTTCTCATTGGCAATCATACCACATCTTCTTATTTTCATTTTTGGGGACTTTCCTTAATAATACAATAGAGGTCATCTCTATGTCAGTAGTGAATGTTCAACATTTTTACATTCGTCGGTGATTCACTATACTCACATTTTCTCTAATACATGATATTCTATTTAGGTAACTGAGATTCTGATTTAATGCCTATTTCAAGACGTGCATTCACACTTTAATACCTCAATAGAGATGTTCAGAAATAAGTATATACTGGTATCAAAACATCAGGATGTGTTATCGATTTAGAACACTGAATTTCATAAAGGATTTAAAATTTGGTTTTTTTACGAATCATTTCAAGCTACTGAATCATAAATGCCACATTATACATGAGACCGATATTTTTTTCAATCGGTAAAAGCATGGAGAAAACTTGTCCTTGCCCTATGTGCCATCAGAAATAGCAAGGACTAAGTAAGTAAGTAAAAGATTGCCATCAACGCAAAGTATTTTTAAAATGACAGAGAGGTTTTCTTTTTTTTTTAACTGCATTGTAATTCTAACTGAAAATTTGGATAGCTAATTTATGAGTTTTGCTTAAAAACAATTGAAACGAACTTTTATAAATGAAAAAAGAAGATGTAAGGTGTATGAATGAAACAGCAAACAACAGAGCAACATAAGTAAAACGCATATGGACAAATATTATCTTACACTTTTATCTTACAAAACGTTAAACACAGTGAATTTTTCCAATAGCAAACACAAGCAATTGCATTGAATTAATACTTCGTCATCAAATATTATTAGTTACACGGTGTGCTAGTGTCCTAATACGATATATATGGGGTCAGTAAATTCCATAGGGAAGGAGAGCGAGAGCGAAGCTCGAACCCCATATGGAATTTACTGACCCCACATATATCGTATTAGGTCACTAGCACACTGTGTAACGAATTTATCTTACCGACTATCTTAACATGTGGCATTTAGACTAGTGGCCTATCAAAGTGATCAAGTCTGCAATATAAAGAACCTACTTCCATTGGTTTATACAAAAAAAAATGCCAACAATAACAACTTGCTAGCTTTTAAAGGGGCATTTATCTGTCAAATTCATGTTCACCGATTTGATTCAAATTCTCATATTTGATTTATAACATACTAAAAAGTCTAAAATAAACAATTTACAATGCATGGGCTTGATAATATATATCAGCATTTCGTGTGTATTTTAGTCTAGACGCTTTCTAATTAACCATCGAGGTGACTTCCAAAGACTTTCGACGGTCATATAACCCGATATAAGCATAAACATAGATATAAATAGATTGCGAACTCGTGCAATTGGATTTTTCTTGGTCTGTTTGATTTCACATTATAGGTTGAAATATATGTTAATCAACGTTTTGACCTATATAAGAATAAGTTTTTGTGGATCGAATCTGTCAATTAAATTGTTTACTCTTGTTTTACTTTCACTTATTTTTATAAAATGATGTAACACAACTACTAACCGTGTATTAAAGGAAATCACGCCTACTAACTCCATATTTCATATACATGATCTCCACGCTATCGCTTTTAACCAATGATATTCCTAGAAATGTATAGGAGGTAAGACAATAATAGTTGTCGGTCGTGAAATGTGAATGTATTCAATCAACACTTTGTGACATTTTAAAGATGGTGTCTGTCGTTTGTTCTGTTACATCTATATTGTAAAAGTTTATTTTTTTGTTATCAGGTGCAGGACTATCTTATAGAAATTCCAGAATGTATTCTAAGCCATGGTATTTACTAAACTTGCAGGAGTATGTCGAGGTTCATGCCATCATTATCCACAGACAGCAAAGTAAGATTTCTAAATATTGATAGTCATGATAAATATATCCTAAACTTATGTGGCATGCTTTTAGACAAATTAAATGACGGAAACAATATCTTCAGTAAACGTATTGCTTGTTCATGTTGGTATGATGCCATTTTCAGCGTAGACCATTTTATCTCATTTTGTAGGAAATGCAAAAACTGCAAATGTTTCTTTTCTAACAAAAATATATTTATCTTTTTTTTTGGCAGTTTTATACGATTTATTTTGTATCCTTCTTAAGGAAAATATATCTCTTCAGCTGTTTCGATTATACTATCATAGGCTTTCAAAAATTGGGCCTTGGGCGTTCTGATTAAGGTAAATCAAGGAAAGCGCTTCGAACGCATGGAATTTATAGATTGTTGCTTACATATTTTGAAGGGAAAATAGATGCAACAACTCATGCATTCATGTATATCGTTTGTATGAGGTAGCAATGTATTAAAGGAAAGACAAATTGATAGGTGTGCATGCTCTACTGAGTTACTGGAAAGCTTTTTGAAATAGCCTGAAGTGTTAAGATCTTACATATTAACCTTAACTGGATTTGAGTGGTAGTCTTTGATATTCATCAATTATTATTAGATATCTGTTTAAACAGTGATGAAAGGATTAATTTATGAATTATCTAAAACAGAAAGTGTATTATATTCTTCGAAAACTATCAACAATTGCTGGACAAAAAATTCTATCACAATAATAATCTAACATTTCTAAAGTAAACAAAAAATACTGAGTAAAGACGTTTGCATACTAATTTGAATTTAAATAAAAATTTACATGTATTGGATTAATAGACACAACTATAGGATACAAATGATTATAATTTGAAGATCCCACATATCGCTTCAAACAATACTTGAAGAATGATTATGATGGCGGTAATAAACTGTTATTTAACATGTGCAGTGTCTATTCTCACGTTCATATAAGGATGAGAACATACTTATTTTGTATAAATACTAACTTTGTTTGATTATGAACCGATACACTGAACTGGATTTAATTATAGTTACTGTAATAATTTTTTCTGCTAACAGTCCACTGGAAGATTTGACACCGTACCAAGATATTATACTGACTCCGAATATACTAGTTTTTGCTCTTAATCAAAATTGCCGAGTTATCTCATTCTTTAGTAGACGAGAAGAAATCTTTTGACTACCTGTAAAAGTGATTTAAGATGAATGTATGAGGAACACACACTATGAACACTAGGAAATGATAATTTATTAAGACAAAATCTTTATCATTGATGCTTCTTTGCTCACACCATTCAGTTCGATGATCACTTGCCCTTCAAATATCGATATAAGTGTTGCATGAACAAATGCGTAGTATTAGGCAATGGAACTTGTAATTGAACACTCTTTTTTTATTCAATTTATCTTTTAATGAATATTTGAGGTGTCATGATTAAGACCTTACTAAAAATTGTATTAAACACTTGTAACATCGGCAATATATATCACTAAAAATATATATAACAGAGAGAAATTGTGTAAATGAAAACTGTAGATATTTCAATAAGAGCACTTATTGATGAGGATATTGATAAATCGTGAAAAGTATAAACTATGTAAGTTTTTTTTTTTTTTTTGCAATAAAGAAAAAAATATGATGGATTTAAAATGTCTGTTTTTTTACAGTTTGGTTCCCTGTAAACCACAGATATGCTGGAACGTATGTTAGTAAACACAGATGGGATTTTCTGACATATGGAGCATATAGGTGTGAAGAAAACAGAAATCCTAGGAAAAGTCCAATCTTTCGATATCAGTGTAAACGTCCTATTATCGGACAATATATCAGCGTTACAAATTTTGATTTTACAAATGAAAGCGCTAGACAAGGCTACTACCATTATTTTGAAATAGATGAGATTCAGGTGATAGGAAAATGTAAGTTATGCCTCCTTATAATTGATTTTTCAAATATATTGGCCTTGAGCATCACTGAAGCGACATTTATTGTCGAATTTCGTAACTAGTAAAGTAAAATTGGTACTGTTTATGTTGTTTTTTTAAACTCAGAGCAATATATTCGTATGCTAGGTTCAAAGGATATGCAATGGCTCAGAGGTTAGAGAGGACATATACTCTGCAAATGTTTTGTCAAAAAATGCCACAATATGAAATTAAAAACGAAATTCTTAACCAAGTTGACAAAGAAACAGTTTTAAAATTAATCTTCCATCATAAATATCAGTAAGCCATGAAAAATAGAGTTAGTAGTAAACTAAATAAGCAAAAAATGAAATCAACACGTTATCAATTTCATGCGTCAGAATCGCTTTTCTGGATTTAAATTCATCAGGAACGCTCAAAGCCGAATATTTGAAAGCCGAGGATGTATAAGAACCAAAACAGGTGTAGAGCTTTATAACCAAAAAGTACCTAAAACATAGCCAAATCCATCTAAGGTCATCTTTGTCTGAGGGAGTTGAAACCTAAGTTTCTTTATAATTTTAAAATTTATAAACGGACAATTTTTAGAAGGATTTGTTATAAATCATGTCAGTACCGAAGTACTGACTACTGAGCTGATGATACCTTCGGGAACTGATAGTCTACCAGCAGAGGTATCGACCCAGTGCTGTAAACAATGAAAACAACACGTTATCAAATTCATGCGTCAGAAGCGCTTTTCTGGATTTAACTTCATCAGGAACGCTCAAAGCCGAATATAAGCAGAGTTTATATAATTTGTTTTTAAACATTTAACACAACATGCAAAAGAACACACGTCAGGTAAAATAACAGCGTATGTTTCACGTACATGATATAGAGATTACATATGAATTTTATATACCCGACATAACGTAACTTTCTGTACATAATTTGAAATAATGCACTGAGGTATGATGAACGGGAGATTGCATGGCCTTTTTGCTGGTTTTTCAGTACACATTGAATACAGTAATAATCAATAAGATTTGATTACTAGTCCGGGTTTTGGCTTTACCCAGGGCCTTTATGATTATATCAACTCTTCAACGTTTGTTTTGGATTTTGGATTTCCAAATATTTCAACCTCGAACATCACAGAGATGACATGTTATGCGCATGCCCACCTGGTTCCGTCTGGTTTAGCCGTTTTATTTTTTTCTCTTCACAACATCTTTGGTTTTTTTCCAAATATATGAATAAGGAGATATGAAATGCTGACTGATATATTATTTTGTTTTATTTCAAAAGCAACAATGTGCGGACGACAGCTAGGACTTATATCCGGTGATATTTACGATTATCAGTTGGAATCATCATCAAGGAAGGACAAAGATCATCTATCAAACTATGGTCGTTTATTCTTCCCGGAAACTGGCTGGTGTTCTAGTTCTGATGATTTATCTCCATGGTTTATAGTATGTTTTTTTTTAGATAAGGCGAATCTCCGTGGTGTATGGTATATACTTTTGAAATCAATGAATCCCTTGTATAATAAACAATTCGATTAACAAAATTTGAATTTTAAAATGTTCAGTCCATTTAATTGAATCGTGCTTCGTTCAAATGTAGATCAATTTCAATGAATGAATTAAAAGAGAGCCGAAAGGTACCAGAGGGACATTCAAACTCATGAAATGAAAATATATGATCTGACGGTCCAGAGGTGGGAGAATGACTAAGATAAGCTAAAAGTGTAAACCTTGGAAAAGTGCTCTTGTTCATAGCCTACCTCTGTTTGGAGGAATTTTAAATGACAGTTAAACGCAAACATTCGAATCATATTTTAACTTTTATTAATTTTGCTTAATATTTAATTTCTCGGGAGGCGCTCTCAATGAAAATATTTTTTATTTAAGCTGAAGAAAGCAACATTTTAACAGGCGTGAAACCGATTAGTCGAGTATCATTTTGGTTTTCGATACTCGGTACTAATGAGTGATACTCGAGTACTCGAGTACTCGTTGACATCCCTAATATATATATATATATATGTTAGCGGCAATAAGTGAAATTAGGCATTAAGCTAAAATCCTAGGCAATAAGCTAATGCCTAGGCAGTAAGTCTATTAACTAAATGATGTTATGCATTACTCTTAAATCCTAGGATTTCAGCTTAAATCCCGAAAAATGTGTAAATGCGAGTAATTAAAAGACATTTATTCAATTAAATTAAAAAAAAATGTTACATAATAACATAATAAGAACTGAAGTCTAAAATGTCAACTACAAGAAATAAAATCACAACCAAAATATCTTATTGATATTAAAACTCATTAAATAATACTCTTCAAAAATATAAACACTGGATAGAAATTTGTGTTTAAATCATTTGTTACCACAAGTTGTGGAACTGTGGCACCGACTATTGCACTGTCTCCCGTTTTTCTTGCATTTGCACCTGTTACTGAAACATTTGGATTTACATGCACATTTAAAAAATCCTTGACCTCCGGACAATGACTGATGGGTTGCTGCCTCATGAACACTTAAAGTTGTTTCACAATTGATTTCCTCTTCTAGAATTAAATTCTGCTCACAGATGCCCATCTCATTTGATCCAAATGTTTCTAGGGGTTGTCCAAATCTTGTAGCTACAACAGCATTGCCCTTATCATTGACCTGAAAAATAAACGGATGAAACTCTTATGAAGGCAGTTTGAGTATTTTCATTAAAATATCAATAAAATAATATTTGTGCGAGTCGGAACAATTAATTATTGGCAATTATTTTCAGTGAAATACTAATTGAATCCGTGTTGCATATGGTGATTTTGTACTGTCTTTGTGGCATTGACCCGCATCTGATTTTCCCCAGGTGCAGATCCTGGATTTTTTAAAAAGAGGGGGAGAGGGCCTGGCAAGTCAACGTTTTGAATGATACTGATAAAGTCTTTGCATTTATCATATATGTAGCTCCATAAGGGAGGCCTGGGCCCCATACCCCTTTCCTAAATTCGTCTCTGTTAACATAAACATATTTTCTTTTACTGTTTTTTTTTTCTGGTTTGTATTCAATATACATGACATCTTAAATGGTGCAGTCAAACTATTGATCAAATATCTTACCTCAATGACTCGGTCGAATGAATTTCTACTGTCGCCCTTCCCTCGATCATACATAGATATTGGTACGGCCACTGGCGAACTCTGTTGGTATCAATCGTACAATTTGGACATAACACCTTCGAACCGTACCCCTCTTTACTAACAGTAGTTCCACATATAACATGAATGTGTTTGTCACATTTACTACACATATGAGCTCCCTAGGTATCCTTTTCACATACATAGCACTTTAAGACAGTCATCCTGAAAGACAGTTTAAATAAATAATAAAGTTAAAAAAATTTGATGTAATTGTAAATATTTATAAAGCCGGACTAAAATAAAACTATTTTTCAAATTTAGTTACAATTTTGTGATAATGACGTTTGTGTTTATAGATCGTTCTACTTACACTCAATATAAGAATAATAAGATGTGGTATGTGTGCCAATCAGACAACTGTCCGCTAGAGGCAGAATGATATATAAGTTAAGACCTATGGGTCACCATACGACCTTCAACAAACAACATTTACCTCATAGTAAGCTATAAAAGGCCCGAAATGACAAACGTAAAACAATTCAAACGAGAAAACTAACGGCCAGATTTATGTCATGCTGAACGAATGAATGCAGATATTTTGTTCTAAAGCTCCTGATAAGATTTCCTTATTTTATCCATTATATATTACATGGAAGTACTGTAATAATTTAGTTAAAGCTCCTTCCAAGATTAAAGAACTAAAGAGTCGTTTTAATTTTTTTTTAAATATTTCTAAATACTTTTTACAACTTACCTTTTGCGTTTCATCAGTGATTGAAGTAGAAGGTTCCACATTTGGTTCTGAACTTGATTCTTGTATATCAGAGGCATTCGCAATGTTTTCTGTGGTATTTTCAGTTACAGGTTGGTGATTTAAAGACACCGTCTGGAGCTTAAGTAAGGCCTCCTCCTTTTCTTAGGTCACCAATATTTCTTTCGGAATTTTGGTTTCTGATGTTAATCAAATAGTTGCATATTTACCAAACAAGACTGCATAGAGTGTTGGTACAATGCCTTTGTTTAGAGCTGAATTCTTTTGATGCCAATTGACCACTTTGTTTATTCATTGTCCCTGATCCATGCAGTAAGCATGTCATCGATATCTCCATTCGATCGCTCAATACTAACTTGTGATTGGGGATGTCTTGGCTTCCCATGAACGATAACCTGTTTTGGCTACATTAATTTTAACTCGAATATGAATTCCCGACCATTGTCACTTTGCAGTTTATGGGGCGAACCAAAAATTGTGAGAATATCAATTAATAGTAGATTGAAAGCCACCTCTGAGGCACATTTTGACGTTAGAGCTTTAATGTAACAAAATTTTGTAAGATGATCTTGGAACACCATAAGAAATTTATAGTTTCCATCTGGGTTTGATTGAAAATCCATCAAATCAACTTGTCCTCTACTGTTAAGTCTTTAGATAAAATGGGCTTCACTCCTACTCCCTTCCCTATATTTTTTTTCATGTTACAATTTTCACAAAGTGAAAGAAATAGTTCAATAGAATCACGGGAAATATTAGCATATCCATTATTTAGTTGTTCAATCATACGGACTCTGTCGCCATGGCCTGTTTCTTTGTGTGCCTTTTCCAAAATACCTCAGAGTTCCTCTAGAAAGACATAAATTTTGAAATGTCCCTCATCATTCTCGTTGACTTTAGTTATCAACCTCTCAAAACCTCCAATGGTAAAAATGTCATACCTTTTTAAACATGTTGAATTGTAGTAATCTATTGTTGCCTTCTTTTCTGATGATTCCAAAAGTTGAATCTTTGCCAAAAGATCATGGTACTTTTGTCTAGGGTATATGTTCCTTGTTTTCCCAGATTCGAATTTAGACCGTAAAGATTCAAGAAATTTGTCCTCAATAGACATGTTGTCACTTAATGCTAATAATCGAAATAAAGAAGTGAAAAAGACAAGATGGCCTGGGGGTATTTAACAAAATTTTTAACAAAGAAAATTTTCTTATATTGGAAAACTGGTATAAGCAAAAAATTATATCTTAATTTTGTCTACTTTTGACCAGCTCAAACCATCTGGACTAGTGAAGTGTAAAACTTTTCAAATAATTATTATATAGAATCTCATCCCTCCTTTTTTTCCATTAAATACAATCACATTTTTAAAATCTTGTAATACCACAAAAAAGCACGAGTTAATTCTGTTTGATTATTGAAAATACTAAAATTTGAAGATCTGTTAAATGAATGTATATTAATATTTGGAGTATGAAATAAAAACTACTGTACATCAAGAATAAATCACCGAATGTACATATATTTGGTAGATAAAACATAAATTCCAGAGTTCACTAATCGCCTAATTGTTCGGCAATAAGTTGAATAATCATCATCAGATTTCAGGAAATAAGCTTAATGTCTGAAAATTTCATATTTAACTTTAAATCAGCTAACGTCTTCGGTAACTGTATTTTCTAGGTTGATTTTATTGTACCTTTAAAACTCCAAGGAGTTGAGCTACAGGGTATAAAAGACGGTTCAAATGTTCGGTTTATCAACTCGTTCCTGATAATGTATGGTAACGATAGAAGCAACCTTACTATTTACGAAGACCCGATCGGAACAGTGAAGGTTTGCTATAATATATTGTAACTAATTTATGTTTTAGGTTTAGTTCTTCTAATTGTTTTCTAATGTGTTTTCCAAGTATAACATAATATAAAATAGTTTATAAGTATTTAAAGGAGTATGTAATGTCATTTTTCATTTTTCAAATATTTCAAAATTCACTTCTTTGATCAATATGGTCTCGTGACTGAAAATTTCATTATCACTTTATCATCAATTAATATCATTCTTCTTTTAAGTGTTAATATACGTTATTTATATAACGCATTCATAAAAACATGTGTACAACAATTTTGTAACAGTCATCTTCGCTAGCCAAAGGTTACGATCCAGTCTCCTCCTCTCCACCCTTGACAGATTAAGCCAACATTTGTGATTACAATGCTGCGCCATCTGCCGGTAGATAAATTCCGACTACATCATTCGTGACCAATGGCAGCACTTTAACTTTTTTCATTGTGGAGGTGTAAAATTGTTGTGTCTAGTTGTTGTTCAAGGCCGTACGGTGATCTGTAGTTATTAACATCTTCTCCTTTGATAATTTGGTAGAGCATACAATTAATTCCATGTTAAAAGATCCTAATGGGGCACTCATAAGAATACATACATCATGATAAAAACAAAGGGGGATGTACCCCGGTATGTCACATAATGTAATTTCACTTTTTACAAAGAAATCTACATAGTTCAAACGCGGACCGTGAACGGTGAACCCCAAATTGGACTGTCGCACAAACAAAAAATATTCTCATTTCCGTACAAGTACAAATAAACAAAAATTATTTGTGCACTCGTTATTTGTACAATAAATTGGCTGCTTGCAGGATAAATGTAATTGATCAATAGTAAGTGGTTTTTAAGAGCCGGAGTTTCGGAGTTATTTTTGTAATTGTTATTATTCATTGATCTATTTCAGCTACAAGCTTGCAGTAACGTATGCTCATCATATATACAAATCATTTTTTAATATCAATAAATATGATTTTTTGAATATTAAGAATTGTTTTTTAATATAAATAAATCGAATTTATAATGTTAAAAATAAAAAAAAAACCTATATATTAGTATTAAAAAATGACTATGTTTTAATATTAGAAAATAATTTTTGATATTAAAAATTCGATTTATTAATATTAGAAAATATTTTTTAATATCAATACATCATTCTATCTATATGAATAAAAAGGGAATTAATTTCAAAACGGCTTGAGATAGGGATCACATCAATGCAAAACGGAGCGATATCGAATGTGTCGCATGGTATGCGTCTTCAGTTACACGTAGTGTCCATTTCAGGCTGTCCTCATAATCCTGCTTTGACAGTTTGGTGTATCGAGCAAATTTCTGCTAATGAAAGTCTTATAACTTGAATATGAGCTCACGTAACGAATCAATTGAGATATGGATAACCCATACGATTTGTGATTAAGTTATTTCATGCAATGGGTTTGGATTAAAAAAAACGACAGGAGGAGTTTTATCTTTGAAGGTATGAGGTGGTCAAACTTTTAATGGAAAATATTGCCAATATTGATAGCATCATTATTACCTTTGTCGTCATCTTTGGTATTAGTTGTAACGGAGTTAAATAACATGTGATAAGCAATACCAATAATTATAATAAACAGTCTGTACGTAGCAGAATTTGTATCAATAACGGCAGTGTGATAGTCCCTTGATCCTTAGATAATTGAGCGTTGGTAATGGTATGACTTTACTTTATTTGCCATTAAATTTTTTTTATATAAAATTAAGTGTTTTTTACAGATGTTTAGAATCGATCCAATGATAAGCTCCCTGTCTATTCATCCGTTTATTTTCAATAAAGAAATTTACGGCAGATACCTTAAAGTGGTGCCAGTAGATTATAAAGAAGCATGTTTAAAACTGGAAGTAATTGGTTGTCCAAAACAAGGTATGTGAAACAAAAGATACAAAGACGGCACTAGTAAATGATTTTTTTATTCTTAAACGGTTATTTTGATCTTAACATTATATCTGAAAATTTGAATAATAAATCATTCAGCCATGGTAATCTTTGCAGTCAACTTTAAAACGAATCTTCTCGGGTATATTTAGTACTGTTTATATAAATCAGTACGATGGTAATGGGTACCAGTCTATGCAAAGTGCAAATCGAAAAAAAAATACGTTTCTTATGTGGAGTAGCGATATACTCCTTTGTGAACGAGATGCATTGTGGGGAAATCTCAGACGAATGTTGACATTTGTAGGAATAAAAGAACATTCATCGGAAAGTACTTGTTCATTCTTTTTAAAACATAGACGTTGTTAACAGGACAAACGTATATACAACTTATCATGTATTTAGAATATTTTATCTGAAGTATGTTGTATTTATACGAGTAGATATTCATTAGCACGATCTATAATTTTGAGTTGTCCACATACTTTGCCAATCATGTTCCAATCTCAGTGAAATGCCCATTAAACTTAATCGATTGCATTCTACGCTATAATCACTTGTAAAGGGATAAGAATGCTATATTTTCTTATATGAGTGCAACATTTTTCTAATAGAATAGGGATATAATTTTATTAAGAAAAACTTTTCAATGCGATATTTTTCTAATAGAAATGCGGTACGTAATTATGATAATATAGCACAATACATCAAAACAAAGTAGAAACATCGACAATTATTCGATGATAAAGGCAGATTATCACTGACATTTCGTAAAGATGGTGAAAAAACCCAATAATACACTTTTATTAACCAGTTTAGTGCATTATGTACATGATGTATGAGCCTATCCCTTTATTTATAAAAGCAAAACTGGTCCATAACAAACTAGCAGGGCATTATTAAATACAGTGCCATTGTGAATAAACAGGGCTATTATGAATAAACAGGGCCATTATGAAAAAACAGGGCCATTATGAATAATCAGGGCTATTTCGTATTTTCAGTTATTATCAATTCAAATACATTTGTGGGGAAAAGAAAAATTAAGAAATTGAAAATTGAAAATTTCTAAGAAACATCATGAATAAAGGCAACAGTAGTATACCGCTATTCGAAATTCAGTAATCGATTGAGAAAAAAACAAACCGGGTTACAAACTAAAACTGAGGGAAACAACGACACAACAGAAACACAACACTAAAATGCAACACACACAGAAACGAACTATAATATAACAATGGCCATTTTCCTGACTTGGTACAGGACATTTTAAGAAAAAATGGTGAATTGAACCTGGTTATGTGGCTAGCCAAACCTCCCGTTTTAAATATAACATTAAAATGACAAGATTACATGACAGGACTACAATACAAATAAATGGGAGAACATGCAGGACAGAGACACACACAAATAATAGCTATCAAAAGGTACTAGGCCTATAATTTAATACGCCAGACGCGCGTTTTGTGTACATAAGACCCATCAGTGACGCTCAGATCACAAAAGTTCGAAAGCCAAAACAACTACAAGGTTGAAGAGCATTGAGGACCAAAAGTTCCAAAAAGTTGTGCCAAATACGGCTAAGGTTATATGCCTGGGATAAGAAAATCCTTAGTATTTAGAATAATTCATATTTTTGCAAACAGTAAATTTATAAAAATGACTATATAATTGATATACATGTTAACACCGAAGTGGTGACTAACAACAGAATAAAAACGAATACGTAAAACAACCTAAATCAGCACATAAAAAAGGCACAGCCGAACAACGTATTATATGTTAGCCGAAGAGATCGACGCACAATGTGACGTCACATATAAAGTTCTATAAATTTCCAAACAATAGGATAGAGTTCAAGATTAGGTTTGTATTACTGATATAACATGTATTTATAACAATGAAAATTACAATACTTATTGATATACAATTGTGGTAGTAATTAGATAATTAATTGTATTATCAAGCTATGTCGGTATCTCTTCTAAATCAAACTGTAAACCAAATACATCGTATAAATTTAGTTGACCCAAACTAAAATCTAATTAATGAACTGGATGATTAATTATCTTTACCGTAACACACGAATAGAACAGAAAAAAATATAAGATTTAGAACTACAAACGATAAGACATTTGACAAAATCCGATGAGAATAACAAATATAACATCAAAACTAAATACATGGATTTTGGATAGAAAAATACCGTGACACGTCTTATAGCAATGCGAATTCCCACTCAGCAAAACAGTCACAATCGGGAATAAGTCACGTTCGGTACTTAAAAGATCAGACGACGTAATGGCAAACCACAATCTAACACGTGGAAAAAATGTCCTTTGTTAAGTTGGACAAAGACACATCGTATGAATCAACCAATTCGTGATGGTGTCCATAGAATTTACGGAGTGTCATTTTTAGTCTGTCCTCCTCATAACTTTGTTGGAGCAGTTTCTGCGTTAGGAACACACTCCTGTAAATGAAGTCCGTATAGTGTGAACATGCACGAGCATAGCGTATCAACTGAGATATGTAAACACCATACGAAGGGGCAGCGGGTATGGTACTGCTGAGAAATGGGAAATTGATAATTGGGAAGTTGAAATCGTCCCGTTTATCATAGATTTTCGTGTGAAGTCGTCCATCTGTGTCAATATTGAGGAAATGATCAAGGATTGAAGCAGTCCTTCTAGTATCAGTAGTATCCTTAATTTCAAGTTCACTGGGATATATGAGATGTAAGTGTTGGCTGAAATATAGGTTATTTAATGATAGGATATCATCAATATATCTGAAAGTAAAATTAAAGAATTTCGCAAGGTGCTTTTTCTTTTTGTCTTTTAGAAGGTTCTAAATGAATTCTGCTTCATACGAGTACAAAAACAAATCGGCCAGTAGGGGTGCACAATTAGTACCCGTTGGAACTTGAACCTGGCTTATCTTATTTGACCCAGTTGTCAGGTTAATGATAACATAATACATTCCATCATTTGTATCAGTTTATTTAATTTTGAGTTTAAAAATAAACCAAAATGAAATCTTGTATTTTGTATGCCATAAATTGCTTTGAATAGGACAACAATAAAACTATATTTAC